AAAAGATGTTATGTAAAAAAAAAATATTTAAAATATAGTATAGTACTATATCGTTTGAAATTATTAAAATAAAAAAATATGCAACATTTATTGTTAATTTATTTATATTTATTATAGTATCACGATATTAAAATGATCAATTGGATGAAATTCATTTAAAAAAAGGATTATAAAAGTAATAATATATATATATATATATTACATAAATAATAAAATGGAATAATATTTACAGAAGGTCTATAAAAATTTCCAGGTATTAAACGGAACACCTTTCATACATAATACGAGAAGGGGAGAGAGAACAATGATAAATATTGTACGTGTACGTTCCATACACATTGGATACACATATTTGCACGCCACTGAATCCGGATTTTTGTTACCGTAGAACGTCAACGATTCTTGATAAAGTTATCCGCACGGATAGTTGCTGAAATCGGAACCGGAAGCCGTACGATAAGATTATTCGTTTGTATTGCAAGCAAAAAGAGAACTTTCGATACGAATAACCCTTTTTCTTCTTCAATGCGTGCGATTTTATTATGGCACAGCAGGGTTCTGAAATAATATAATTTGTAAAATAACGTACCTGTTCTATGACTTGCAGTTGACGACCGATGATTCAGCATAGTAAAATATTCGATGCAATAAAAACACATACAAAAAACAATTCTCTCGTTTTTTTTCTTGCATTTTCTTTTTTTTTTTTTTTAGAAAATAAATTTGAAAAAAGAAAAGATTCTTATACAAATAACGATCGCAAAAAGGAGGATACACAAGATATAATAATAATAAATCTTGTTTGAAAAATATGTAAGAAGTGTGATCAAAAACTCAACGAACGAACGATTAAATAATAATAGTAAAATGTATTAAAAATCGTATACAATTTTTGATTTAGATATTATATATATTCGTAATTCTTTTTTTTTTTTCTTCTTCTTCTTCTTCGTTTTTTATTATTATTATTTTAATATATTTTTTTTATTATAGATATATTATCCGTGGTTACGATCGATGATACCTTTTTTCTCTCTCTCTCTCTCTCTCTCACTTTCTATTCCTTCTTCTCTCTCTCTTTCGTTATTAAATCCTTTCTTTTACATTATATAATTAATTAATTAATTACTATGGCAACGTAAAACAATTGTACAAAAGTTAAGAGACAATAGAAAGGTATAAAAAAAAGAAAAGTATAATATATTTATAAACAATGATATTTTAATAAAACTAATAAAAAGAAAAAAACAAGAGTCTATGGGGAAAAGATGAAAAAAGAAATAAAAAAAAAATATAATAATAAATCTTGGAACTGAGAAACGAAGCTTTCTAACTGACTGGCACTCGGAGGTGGGTGGAGGTTGTGTTGAGGACCAAGAGGAAAAACACTAAACGAAAAATCTTTTGAGAACGTTCAAAAAAAGGCTAGACGAGGGAAACGAACGAACGAACTACGAACGTGACTTCAAAAAGAAAAGAAGAAGAAAAAGGGTACACGATGTCTCTTTTTCCATTCTTTCTTTATCTTTTTTTTTTTAGTTCATTCTCTCTCTCTCTCACACACACACACTCATACATTCTTTCTCTCTCTTTCTTGATTATCGTCGAGAGAACTAAAAAAAATACAAAGATGAAAAAAAAAAACATGCATCACAAACACGACGATTAATTATACGTACAATTATTTTTCAATTTTATTGACAATCATCGTGACAAAAAAGTGGCTTACAAATATTCGTTAAAAACTTTCGTTTCCTCTCTCCCTTCCCTCTTCCCCCTCCCAAACCCAACGACGTTTGCTATAATTATTAATATTATTATTATTATTATTATTATTTTTGTTTTGTTTAATGTTCTTTTTTCAACGTTGCTCGCTCATGCGTTTTCTTTTTCATTTCATGATCTTCGAATTTGCATTCTTTTTATTATAAATCACTATTAATAACATTTTTGTACAAAAAGAAAAGGAAAGAAAGAGAAAAAAAATAATCCATCCCTTTCCCTTTTTTCTACTTTACTTCCCCCTTTTCCTGCATTTTCCTATGATTTTTTTTTATTTTTATTTTTCGCTTAATTCTTTTTCTTAATCTCTCGACGAAAAAATAAAATAAAAAATCAACAACGATACATTGTTCATTATTTTGCACTCTATATCTTGCGAGCTTCGTGGAGTGTGATATGTGACACTAAGGATTTCTTTATTTTCACTACTTTACAATATTACACGTAATATTTTTTTTTGTTTCCTTAGAATCGCCCCCCCCCTTTGCAGAACTCTAACACCAAACACACTTCTTCTCAACCCCACTATGTTTTATCTTTCTCTTGTTATCTCTCTCTGTTTTTTTTTTCGTTTTGGCATAATCATCCTACGGTCCAAGTAAACGGACCTTATCTTTCTCACCCTCATGGCAAAACAAACTTTCTTTCTTATTTTCTACTCCTTTTATCTTCTTCTTCTTATTCTTATTATTTTCCTTCGTTTTCTTCGTGTCATTCTAGGCAGTTTTCTTGCTCATGTGTGAGTTGCGTATTTGTTACTTTAATAATTATAAAACATTCCCTACTAGTGTATTTCTCCTTATTTTTACTTTTTTTTTCACTTTTACATTTCCATCGAGGAGACGTACATTAAAAAAGAAAAAAGAAAAAACTTTGCTAGACGTCTCGTCGTCGTTTTCATGTATGCAGTCGAGTCAACTTTCAGCATATCACTCTCTTTGAAAAATTTCACATAATGTACATATATGTATATACATAAAAAGTATATGTAAAAAAATAAAAATTAATGTTGCAAATAAAAAAATAATTAATAACATAACAGGACTCGACTGTCCACATTTATTAACGTTGTTTACACCAATAATTATGTATCATTTTATTTTATTTTGTATTTTTTATTAAAAACGATTAGAAAAAATTGTGTAATGTTTAATTTAAGTCAATGTTAAATCTATTTATTTTTTTTCTTGCGTATATATATTGTAATCTCAATATTCTATTCATATTAAATTCGAATATTAAAGACGAGTATTACCATTATCTTTCGAAAGAGATTAGAAAATTAGATCTTATTAAAAAATGAAGATCAATAAATATATAAAATATTGTTACAACAAATTTGAAAGATTAAATAAGAAAAACGAGAAATTTTTATGAAAGGGGAGGAAGACGACGAAGATACGAATCATTAATATAAATTAATTAATAATGATTAATAAATCAAATAATAATTATATTTTAATTTATGTGGTTTTTATTGCTAAGAGAGAACCCATTGAAAAAAATATTTCTGTTATATCTTCGTTAAATTCGGAAAGAAAAAAACAGAAAATAAACAACACTACAGCGCACCTAATAATCATCCCCCACCCCTTTAAATCCAACCACCTACTTTCAACAATTTTTTCTATCTCACTTTTTCTTTCTTTCAATCATTTTCTTTTGCTTTTTCTTTTCGTTTCATCTAAAGTCAAATTTCCCTCGAGGGTAGTCGTTGTTGTCGTCGTCGTCGTCGTCGTCGTCGTCGTGGTTCGTTGTCGGTGAAAATGCCGCTTTAAAAAAATAAAAAAATAAAAAAGGAAGAAAAACGCTTTAAATACCGGTAGTACTATTACAGCCTTCGAAATTCTTCAACGCCGTTCAACCACCCCTCTATACCCTCCTTTCTCTATACCTAGTCATCCCTCTTACGATTCTAAATAAGAAACAAACAAAAAATATATCCACGGTGTTCTTCTTTAACGGTAGATTTCACGATTCATCGCTTTTCGTCGTAACCATTACTACATTTTTTTATTTTCTTTCTTTTTTTGTGTTCACGACATCAACCTAAAAAGAAAAAGAACAAAATTCAAAGGAAATTTCTCAAATCCCCCTTTTTCTTTACAGAAACTACTACTATTACTACTACTAATCCCTTCTTCTACTCAAACGGTACAAGAAAATCCGGAACCTTTCGTATTGTTTTATATTTTTGTCTATTTGTTTAGAAAAAAAAAAGAAATCTAAGGTAAGCAGAATTTTCACCGAATTTTTACGAAGTAGATTCAACGAATTACGAACTTCCATTTTGTTCAATTCTTTAGTTTCTTTTTATAATCCAATTTATTATTTTGTCGTAATGTTTCTCGGACGATTGGTATTAGATTGGAAAATAATAGAATAATATAATAATATATTATAAAATAATAATAATAATAATAATAATAATAATAATAATAATAACAACGACGAGTATGAAAAAACAATTTCTGTCCAATCGCGAAAGACAATGTTTGTAATTTGTAAATAATTAATGATAATTATTTTCTTATCTTTCTTCTTGCAATTTTTAATCGTCTTTTCATTTTCAAATTATTTCTTTAGTTACATTTTGTTTAAAAATTTATTTAATTTAACATCGATCGATGCGCTCTCGCCCGTGCCCTCTTAAAAAAAAAAAACGCTCCAACCCCCTTCTGCCTTCCTCTCTCAAACCACCACCCACCACCGTTTCTCAATCGTTCCAAATTCATGCTCGTTTTCTTCTTTTTTCGTTTTTTTTTTCTTTTGTTTTGTTTTGATGATCGCTTTAAATATTTACAGTGCTCGGACCTAACATCTAAGAATTATTTATTTACAAGTAGCTTAATTCTTTTTCTTTTTTTTTTTCTTTACTCATAATGTTACATTAAACACCTGACCTATACACTCGTGGTTTTTCCATTTTTTATTATTATTTTATTCTTCATCATCATCATCATCATCATCATCATCGTCATCATCATCATCATCATCATCATCATCATCATCATCATCATCATCATCATCATCAACACCATCAACATTATCATCGTCATCATCATCATCATCATCATCATCATCATCATCATCATCATCATCATCATCATCATCATCATCATCATCATCATCATCATCATCNTCATCATCATCATCATCATCATCATCATCATCATCATCATCATCATCATCATCATCATCATCATCATCATCATCATCATCATCATCATCATCATCATTATCATCATGATCATCATCATAATCTTCTTCTTCTTCTTCTTCATACCCAGCTACGATTTCTTTTATGGCAGTCATAGTCTGTTCTTAAAAACATGTATATCATATATGAATTATTTATTATGTATTTTACTTTCACATAAACGGCTACAAAACACAGCTGTTACTTTTATGTTCTCTTGGGTTATTCATTTTTTTTTTAAATCAACCCTATTACATTACCTTATATCTCTTTTTGTTGTTTTTCTTCTTTCGTCAGAAAAAAAATAAAAGAGATAGGAGAAAGAACAGACTATGATACCAAATAAATGACGGTACGTATTTTCTAGAAAAAATCGCGTTATACACCTAATCGTTACGAGCTAAGAGTTAGATAAATAGACGAGACGATACACGTTAGACGGACATGCGAGCCTTACGAGCTCCGCTACGTTAGCATAATAAGAAAGTAAGAAAAGAGCCGGAGTTTCAAGATGTTTCATAGAGAAAACAGAGGGAAGGAGAGAAAAAAATAAAAAGAGAGAAAGAGAGAGAAAGAGAGAATAAGAGAGAGAGAGAGAGAGAACAAACGAGAGAGAAAAGAGGATTAAAACATTCGTACTAGCCATTCATTTACAATGACACATACATACGTGCATACGTACTTATTGTTAGACACATACGAACACTCTATCGAACATACATACGTATACTCACACATACAAAATTGCATTTTTGGAGCCTTAACGGGGGCTAACAAATCATGGACTCTTTTTCTAAATTCTGACTCTCTCTCTCTCTCTCTCTCTCTGTCTCTCTCAGGTTTCCCGTCTTTCTCTCTCTATCCGTCAGTGTCCCTTTCTCTCCCTATCCCTTTTTTATCTCTTTCACGGCCCGAAGATTAGAAAAGAGCGTGTCCTTTCGCGCTGATCATCGTGTTAGGCGTCGCTCGAAATTATTCCTCCCGAGGTGACGAAAGAACGCGTAAACTCTGAAACTAATCCACGGGGAAGACACGTACGGGCTAATACGTATATCGGGTAAATCCTATGTACGTGTGTGCGTGTTTGATGTCTTACGTATATGTGAATTGTTCAATGTTACGTATGTTAGATGTGGATGTAGATGTATATGTTATGAGTGTATGTTTTATGAGTAAATTTTTGTAATGACAGTGTATGGGGATAACCGAGTAAGATCAATTGAGAGATTGGCAAGTAATCCCAATGATACTCGGTTTCATCGACATGCCTCAAACTTCAGTTGCCTGCGAGTAAGATGGCGCAAGACCGTGTGCCGGCGTAAGAGGTCCAGTCGTTGAGGCAAGAGACCTTCTCGAATATATCGTAGCCGCTGAATGCGGCGTGTGCGGTGCCGTGTGCGGTGCCGTATGCGGCGTGTGCGGCGTGTGCCTGCGCGAGGCCGAGGCGAAGGGCTAAATGGGCCCGTAGTTGCTAAGGGCGGAAGGCCTCTCCTGTTGCTGCACCGATTGTTGCGATTGCGATTGCTGTTGTTGTTGTTGCTGTTGTTGTTGCTGTTGTTGCTGCTGCTGCTGGGATTGCTGCTGCGGCTGCTCGCAGCCGGCGGTGCTCATGTCGCCTCCCGCCGACTGGTGACGTCATACGTGCGAAAGAGGAGGTTGCTTGAGTACGTGATGATGGAGATGATGCTGAGACGCGCTAGCTACGCTGCCAGGTGGCAAAAGTGCGCTACCAGGTCCTGGTGCCGCCGGGTATGGCATGGCGACACGACCTACGACGCCCTTCATGCTTGCGCTGCCTATTCCTCCGCTCACGCCTGTCACGCCAGCTACCATACCGGCGCCACCGCCTCCGTAAACGCCTGCGCCACTCCCGCCTCCGAAGAGACGCCTCCATAGTCGTCGCCAACTGTCGAGAGTTTTGCCGCTCCAGATCCATACGCCCGATGTTATGCCGACCGCGAGGGCCATGAAGTACTTTAGCATGAGGACGGAGTACAGTGGCCTTGCTCGGGGAGCGCATGGACAGGCCAGAGACTTCAGCCAATCGTCCCGTAGAACGGACTCGTAAATGTGACATGCGAGAACCAAGCCGGCCGGTAGCGTGTATAGAACGCTGAACACGCCTATGCGTATCATCAATTTTTCTAGCTTGTCCGCTTTTGCCCCGGGCTGTCGTTTTATCACCGAACGGATTCTGAACAGACTTACGAATCCGGCTAATAGAAAGCTCGTTCCCAGTAATAGGTAAACGAAGAGAGGCGCTAGGATGAACGTGCTCACGCCTTCCGGTGCTACCACGCAAACTCCTGCCACTGGATCCCCAGCCACCCCGCCCGAAATGTAAGCCCAGACCGTTTGAATTGTCGGAGCTAGCCAAGCTGCCAGATGGAAGTACTGGGAATAAGATGCTATAGCTTCGTTGCCCCACTTCAGACCGGCCGCGAGGAACCACGTGAACGCCAGTATGACCCACCATACCGAGGACGCCATTCCGAAGAAGTATATCATTAGGAAGACCGTCACGCAAGAGCCCGGCCCCTGTGCTCCCGTTCTCAGCGCTGGACCGTCGCACGCTATCTCCTCGTGTCCCAACACGTTCTTCGACAGATAACCGAGCGACACGACGAAGTAACACGCCGAGAGGAAGACTATCGGTCTCTCAGGATACTTGAAGCGCTGGGTGTCGATCAGGAACGTGGTGACGGTCGTGAGAGTGCTTGCGGCGCACAGGCCGCTCCACAGGCCGAGCCACACGGCCGCGAACCCTCGCTCTTCGGGGGTGAGAAACGCTCCGTGGCACGGAAGGGCGCAATTGGTTACCCCTGCAATTTCCTGAATGGTGATCCGACCGTTGTCCGCCTGCGGTGGTGCCGGAATGACTCCACTTACGGCCATGCCGGCCAGGCCAGCTCCCCCGGTGTTGCTTCCGCTTATCTGGCCGGGTATCGCCGTGCCTGTTCCCACCCCCAGAGGCACGAGAGGTGCTCTGCATCTGCAAAAGCAATCTCTCGTCCTTTCCCCCGGGGGGTGCTGGCAGTTTTTTTGATTTTTTCCCGGCTTACAACGAGGCGGTTGCATTGCCTTAGATGGTCGCGTTGGTCTTGGTGGTGCTGCTGCAGCAGGCATTGGTGCGTTGCTTGCCGAACCACTACCACTTCCGCTTCCAGATCCAGCACCGTTACTCGTACGATTATTTTGATCCATGCAAAGATTATCTGGATCTCCGTAATTCGGTAATCTCTCGCATGCCATTCTTTCCGGCCAAGAAAAGCCGTATTGCTGCATCAACGGTGCACAACCTGCTCGTGCTCTTTCGCATACGCTTTTACAAGCTGGTAATGGTTTGGTATACTCGGGTAAACATATTGGCGTATACATTGAGCAAAGAAAGAACTTTAAATCTGGAGAACATTTGATCTCGACTAATGGCCAAAATTGATGAACCTCCAAGCCAGCTTCCTCTTGAGTATCGTGATTTAACTCATTTGGCATGGCTGTTAAATTATACCCGATTCCACGGCACATTGGTATCGTTATCTCCTCGCAACGGCCATTTCCGTTCCCAGAATTTCCACCACTACTACTTCCAAGTCCAGAGTGACTATGACTACCACCACCACCTCCACCCCCGCCGCCGCCGCCGCCGCTGCCGCTAATTCCTCCACCGATGACGCTGTTACCAGCTCCAACTATCCCACCGGAAGCTGAACTCCCACCGGAAGCAACTCCGATTGACGAAGAAGATGAAGATGACGAAGAGGCCGAGGAAGATACTGCTGACGATGATGACGATGAACCACCACCACTTGATACCGAACCACCGTTGCTAACCGAACCAATCGATGATTCTAGTCGTGCGACTGGTAGCGAAAACGCTACTAGTAACAACGATAAGAGAAGCGTCATTGTCCGGCTTGGTAGCAACTTCGTCCGTCTAAGAGGTCTCATTGGTTTGGATCTTCGATTCATTCCCGCGTTGATCGCATCACTCCGGCCTGAAACAGAGAAATCGTTCTTGAATAAGTACTCGTCCGAGAAAGAGAAATCGGATTAAAAACATATACTCATATGTATATAAATAGGCCATATAATTGATAACGAATCATTAGATCATTTCTATGAACCCATAGATTATTTTATTTTTCTTCTTTTTATCAAATAAACGTTGTCATTGTATATGCAAGTAATCATTGAAATGTTATATTATTAAGAAACAATCTTATAAAATAATTAAATACTTTAAATCTTGATTAATAATAGATAATGAAAAATTATTTATCACCGATCTAAAACGAAACAAGCTATTGTAACTTCCTAGCTTCCTTCCATAACACCAAAAGGCTTATAGGTGGATTCGATCAATTTTACTCTTACAACAAGCATGTCTAAACTCTAGCTATTAAGATACCGATGATAGATGCCGTTGTTCGTGACCTTAACGAACGGAGCATACCGTGTTCAGGTGGCCCCGTACATAAATCAATGTCCAAGCATAGATCGCAAGGCTAGATCCAGGGTGCTTCGTATACCAGTAACGTGGACCAAACACGATTGGCACGCACCGTAATACACTAAAAGTCTACCACCACCATAAGATTAAGAGGAAGAAAAAGTGAAAGAAAGAAAGAGAAAAAGAAAGAAAGAAAGAGAGTGCAGAGGGCAAAGGGTACAACACGGAAGAGGAGTGAGGAGTGAAGAACTCGAGAAGCAGTCACGGATCTTATAATAGTCGAGCCGCGGAAAACACGTGACCGGAGCGAAATGTTATTGTAGGAGGCAGTGTTAGTTTTACCGTTTGTTAACTGCTAGGCAGGCACCCTGACGTTCCTCCTCCTCTTCCTCCTCCTCCTCCTCCTCCTCCTTTTTCCTTCTTTCCTAGCTATTTATAAAACGCAACGGTTGCATCCCCGGTACCGTAAAACTGTGCAGCACATATATAGAGAGTGTAACAGAGAAAGAGAATTTAAGGCACGAGCCACTACGTGTGTGGCTCGAGAAAGGATTGAACAGACGTGTCCTGAAGGATCGTTACCCTTCATAGTAGAAGACAGGTCCTACGTGCCTTGACTTGACTCGACTTGACTCGACTACTATTTCTTCGTTCTTTCTTCTATTTTTAAAATAACATGGCGAATTTTTTCGATAGAACATTCTTTTATCCTAACCGGATGACTTCACTGCAAGAATGTTGACTCTCGTTATATTTTTGGTAATATTCTATTTAAAAAAAATATATAAAGATAGCGAATCTTTCCAATCAAACATTCTTTACCCTAACAAATGACTCGAATCCAAGGGGATGAACTTTTCTATTTAAACAAAATAAATGACCGCGATCTTTTCGATCAAACATTCTTTACCCTAACGAATGACTCGACTTTCAAGGATGATAATTTCTTTTTATCGAACTTCTTTTTTCTATTTAAAAACCATGACGATGAATCTTTCGATCAAATGTTCTTTCATACTTTTACGGATGACTTTGTTTCGAAACGATGATAACTTTTACAAAGATAAAATCCTATATGTACATTTAATATTCCTTTTTATTCTTTCTTTCTTTCAGTTTCTATTTCGACAAGAACGAATCGTCTGGCTTGAAAATTTGCATACTTTCTTTAGGGTATCCCTCTCTCGCTAAAGGAAGCCACCAACCGTGAGAGTATTTTTCCGTCAGACTCTTTGTATCCTTGTATTTACAAATGTACACGAACAGAAACTCTTCTTCTTCTTCTTCCTCCCTCAACCCTATCCCCTCCTCTTCCTCTTATCACTATTTCTCTTTTTCTTCCCTTTCTTTCTGCTACCAAGTAAAAGAGAGAGAAAGGAAATAAGAAATCCGATATTCCTTCTCGTCGAATTGAAGGCCAGTAAATTCCGTATTCAATCTCTCTCTCTCTCTCTCTCTCTCTCTCTCTCTCTCGATTCCATGTTAAAGAACCCTACTTAAATCGAGAACCGTCCAAAGTCCGATAGTACATACACGTATATATTTGTAAATGTGAATACATATAGGATATATATGTATATGAAAAGAGAGAAACTGATCGATCAAATCCCTTTCATGTTGCATCCTATACTCTCGTTCATTTGACTTATTTATATTCAAACCGAAAGAATTTATCGTGAAAAGTTAATCACTAATTTTAATAAAAAAAAAATACATTTTTATTACCATTTTTTGTAATATTGTTTTTGTCATTTCATCTATTTTGTAACAGAGAAATATATATATATTTTCTTTTTAATTTCAATCAAATATAATCATTATAAATAATAAATTCACATATTAACAAATATCTACAGATTAATAAAACATTTAATAATTTTCTCAATAATTAAACACTATTCGCTATATCGTATAAATGTTTATAAATAATTAAATACATCTTTTCATTCTCCATTTATTTATTCGACAATTTGTTCATCTTCCACTCTCTCTCACCCTTCCAAAATTATATAATCCATAACAAATATTTGTCGAAAGCTAGATAAAAAAAAGCTTTTTTCCATCCATCCTTCTTTTCACATTCATTATCGAGTGTATATCGATTTATCGATAATACATGATATACCTTGAATTGAAGTAAAATTGAGAAAGAGTTTTATTGAAGGCTTTGGTGAACTGAACCAAACCCGAAAACCGATGAGATAGCACAGAGACTTATACACACAAATATACACACGTGTAATACACGGATAAAAAATTTCTCTCTAGTTACTTTCGATTGAACCTAATCATCCATAACTTTATATATTTTCGACCATAACGTTTTTACATTTCTTTTTCATCCAATTCCATAGCACTTGTAATTCCTGTCAGGTTGAAAATATTTTCACTGGCATATTTTTTAACTTGTGGCAATATTTTGCGAATGATTAGAAGAAGAAGAAGGAAGAAAAATAAGAAAGTAGGAGGAGTAGGAGGAAGAGGGGATTATGTGGTGCGAAAAGGAAACCCTCCCTGTTGAAACGAGAAGAGACATAGAAAGAGGGGAAAGAAAATGAGAACGAGAGGGACGTACTCTTGGCAATGAATCAGTTTTAAGGCCTCGCCCCTACGATGAATATGCTGCCAGCCGGTGCTTGAATTATGATATACTTTTCTCGCGTGTAAATCCCACCCTTTCTCTCTCACTCTCCTTCTTTTCCCCGGTTACTTTCTCCCCACTCTTTACTACCTGCCACCATCCCACCACCCCACCTTTTAAAACCTCCTTTCGACCCTCTTATCTTGGCACCTTAAATGCCTTTGCTCTCTTATGGTGTTGAAAATTATCTCACGATTAATTGCAGTGCTTTTTTTTATGGTATATGTCAGAAAAAAATGCAAAAAAAAAAAAAAGGAAGAGAAAGAGAGAAATTAGAAATACCATAACATTTTATGTCTTCTCCTCGATGAAACGTTTCGATGCAGTGTAGATCAAAATTTTCTAACATTTATTAGCCTAAATTGCTCGATAGTTCGTACATAGGATGATGACGATGATGATAATGATTTTTAAATGACAATTTAGTA